TGAAGGGATTAAAAAGTGCAAATCGCCAATTATTAAAATAGTCTCGGGGATCCTTTTGTAGTTCATAAGCATGATGACTGAGTGGTCACGTTCTTGTGTGAGATGTGCCTCCCACAAACCCTGTTACAACTTCGGCACATTAACTGACTGACATGAGAGAGAGAAAAAAGTGATGGGGATGTAAAGTAAAGCATAGGGGATGTAGTCAATAATACTATAATAACTATGTATGCTGTCAGGCAGGTACTAGACTTCTCAGGACTATCACTTTGCAATTTATATAAATGTCTAATCACTGTGTTGTACACCTGAAACTAATATAATATTGTATGTCAACTGTAAATGAAAAAAAAGAAACAAACAACAAACAACATAAGGTCACAAAGGAATAACACTCTATAATGGCTAAAATTTAAAAGAATGATAATATCAAATGTTGACAAGGATGCAAAATATTTTCATATTGGTGGGAATATAAAAAGGTACAAACAATTTGGTAGTTTCTTATAAAGTTAAGCATATAGCCCTAACAGGTTTGGCTCAGTGGTTAGAGCATCAGCCTGAGGACTGGATCTTGGATTCGATTCTAGTCAAGGGCATGTACCTCGATTGCAGGCCTGCTCCCTGGCCCGGTTGGGGTGCGTGTGGAGGCAACCAATCAATGTGTCTCTCTCTCCTCCTTCCACTCTTTCCAAAAAGCATTGGAAAAAATATCCTTGGGTGATGATTAAATAAATAAAATTAAGCATATATTTATCAAAGGACCCACCAATATCATCTCTAGATACGTATTTAGCCCAAATAAATGAAAACATATCTACACGAAGACTTGCCTATGAAAGTAAATAGCAACTCTATTTATAATAGCCTCAAACTGGAAACAACCCAAATGTCCATCAATTATTAAATGAATAAAATGTAGTATATCCCTACTGTATTTGGAATACTGCCCACAGAGGTCAAGGATGCTGTTAAATATCCTACAATGCACAGGACAGTCTCCGAAACAAAGAATTATCCAGTCCAAAATGTCCATAGAGCCAAAGTCGATAATAAACTGTTGAAGCTGGGTAAAAGGTCCATGGGTGTTTCATGATAGTATTCTACTTTAGTATCTCTCTCAATTTATGTAACAAAATGTTTTTTAAAATACATATCTGAACAATATACAATTTAGGAAGCCCTTAATTTTTTTGAATCTCTCTCTCTCTCAAAAAAAAAAACTACTACTCAAACCCCAGTCAAGTGACTTGGTGGTTGGAGAGTCATCCCATACATCAGAAGGGTTTTGGGTTTGATTCCCAGTAAGGGCACATACCTACCTAGGTTGGGGTTTCGATTGGGACATGTACTGGAGGCAACCAATCAATGCTTCTCTCACATCTATGTTTCTCTCTCTCTCCTCCTTCCTCTCTCTCTAAAATCAATAAACATATCCTTGGGTGAGGATTTTAAAAAAATACTACTCAAGATCAAAATCTCATTGTGGGGATCACATTTATGTCTCTGTTCTTGAAGGGGAGAAAAGCTAATATGAAAGGTAGAGAGAAGGAAGAGACAGTTTGACAGAAGGAAGATAAAGAAAATTTCATATGCTACCCCCCTCCCTCTCCACCCCTCTCCCCAATGTCCTATCTAGTCCCAGCCTGGCACTAAGCCATGCTTTCTATGGTAGATGGACTTCTAAGATTACCATCAATTATTCCACCCTCCCAGTATTCACGTCTGTGTAATATCCTCTCTCTGAATGTGGGCTGGCCTAGTGAATTGCTTCTAACTTACAGAATATGGCAAAGGTGATGGGATGTCAATTCTATGATGAGGTTTTAAAAGATTGGCACTTTTATCTCTCTAGAAGACTCTGTCTATTGCGTTCTCAGCATGCCATGTTGGAGGGGCAACAAGGCATGAAATGGAGAGCAGCCTACAGGCAACAGCCGCTGAGAAATCAAGGCCCTTAATCCAGCATCCCTTGAGGAAGTGAAATCTGCCAAAACACAACCAAGAGAGCTTGCAAGTGGTTCCTTTTTTAGTCAGGCATTGAAATAAGACTCCAGCCCTGACACCTTGACTGTTGCCTATAAGAGACCCTGAAACAGATGACCTACCTAAGCTGCATCCAGATTCTTAACTCATGGAAAATGTGCTATAATAAATGTGTGTTTTATTAAGATCCTAACTTTGTGGGAATTTTTTATGCAACAATAAATTACAAAACAATAAATGCACCCTGCTTGGAAACTGTGCTGAATATTCACCTCCTGTAACACTATTTGGCAATTTCTTTAAAAGTTAGATACATACAACCCAGGAATCCCACTGCTAGGGATTTACCCAAAATAAATGAAAACACGTCTACACAAAGACTTGTACAAAAATGCTTATAGGAGATTTATTCACAATCATCAAAACTGAAACAAACCCAAATGTCCATCACAGATGAATGGATAAACAAACATGTTATATCCATACAACAAAGCAACACCTGGCATTAAAAAGGAATGAGCTACCGATACATGCAACGAAATGGATAAATATCTAAATCATTATACTGAGTGAAAGCTAGAACAAAAGAGAATATAACCTATGAATGCATCCATACAAAATTCTAAAAAATGAGGGCACTGGGAGGAACAGAATGAAAAGGAGTATAAGAAACTCTTCAGGGAAATGGAAACTTTCTGTACTTGATTGTGGCGACTATTTCATAAGAAATACTATAAACTAATAAATACATTGTTGAAACTCATCTAGAAAGAATATATGCACCCCTATGTTCATTGCAGCATTATTTATAATAGTCAAGATTTGGAAGCAGCCCAAGTGCCCATCAGTAGATGAGTGGATAAAAAAGCTGTAGTACATTTACACAATGGAATATTACTCAGCCATAAAAATGAAGGAAATCTTACTTTTTGCAACATATGGATGAACCTGGAGAGCATTATGCTAAATGAAATAAGCCAGTCAGAGAAAGACAAATACCGTATGATTTCACTTGTATGTTGACTCTAACGAACAAAATAAACAAACAAAATAGAAACAGACTCAGAGCCTCAGAGCAGAAGGGTAAGGGAGTTGAGTAAAAAAAGTAAAGGGATTAAGCAAAAAACACACACCCAAAAACAAAAACACAACCTCATAGATAGACAACAGTATGGTCATCACCAGAGGGAAATGGGGGTGGAGGGAAACACAGGAGAGGGTAAAGGGGGGATAAATGGTGATGGAAAGAGACATGATTGGGGTGGTGAACACACAGTACAATACACAGATGATGTGTTACAGAATTGTACACCTTAAACCTATATGATTTTATTAACCAGTGTCACCCCAACAAATTCAATAAAAAAGAAAAAAAAATCAGATCTAGGGTTTTCAAATCCCACAATTTGATATGTGATTAAATGATTTCTCTATTGCTTGTGTAACATTTAAGTTTTAAAATAAAAGAACAACATTTTTGAGTAAAAAAAACAAAAACCCATGTTTCACCTCAAATGTATGCAGTTTATTATATGTAAATTATGCCTGATTAAGTTGACAAAAAAAAGAAATCACTTCTTTGTCAGGCTTTCTTTAACTACATTTAATGCAGCTGATTCCATTATTCTACCTCAGCCCTCAAACAGTATTCTACAAATAAATTACCCAAACTGCAGAAAAACCAGGGCTTCTTGAATTCTACAGTAGCTAAAACTTACAGAACATTATTATGTGTCCGGCATTGTTCTGAGCGCTTTGCATTATTAACTCAATTATTTCCCCCCCACAACCCCATGGAATAGATCCTATAACCCCCATTTTACAAATGAAGCTGAGGCACAGAGAAGAAACCTGCTTAAGGTCATACAGCTAGTAAGTGACAGAGCCATGATTTGAGCCCCAGCAGTCATTCTAGAAGCTGGGCTCTTAATACCACCCCACTCTATATCTCCTACCACTCGAGTATTAGGTAAAAGCATACTCTCAGCTCACTGGAAACTGATAGGTTCACTCATTCATTCAACAAATTATTTAAGCATGCAATATATGCCAGATATTGTTCTAAATGCTAAAGATATAATGGTAAAAAAAATACAGACATGGTATTTGCTTTAATGGAGCTTACATTCTAGTAAAAACTTAGGTTTAAAGCACAGGATGCTTAAATCAAACATTTATCCCCTTATTTACATATTTATCTAAATATTTATGCCAAAAAAAAAAAAAAAGTTAACAAGTTGCATAGTGGCCAGATCTGCCTTAACCAGCTAGAGCAGGGGTCCCAAACTTGTCAGCACTCTAGAATCACCTAAGCATCTTTTAAAAATTCCAAAGCTCAGGCCATACCCCCAAGCCAATTAAATATGAAAATCCCAAACAGGGTGTATGTGGGGAGGGAGGGAGACAAAGGCATAAGTAATTTGCCAAGCTCCATGGTGACTCAATGTGAAGACAAGTTTGGGAAATCACTGAGCTAGAGTTTTTTTGTCTGATTAATGATAAAGTTCATTCATGGTGATGAGAGGTAGATGAGTGAAAAAAACAAAACAAAACCCAACTATATACATTTGCCCTTCTCTGAATCAGAGACTTGCAAGGTAGTTTTGATTTTCCCCCCAATGTTATGAATTCTGAGAACATCAGAAAGAGGACCAAATAAATATTTTCCTTCTTTGATTTATCCATGCTTTCAATCCCCTCCAGAATCATGGACAACTAAGATATTCACCTTTTCAAATTTTCTTGGTACTTTCCATGTAACCAATAAAGAATTCTTCCATATTACACGTTTCCAACAGAAGTGATAAAGACATGACTGAACTGCTTTTCTATTATGCAGATCTTAACTCAGTCACTTTGAGTCTAATCCACAGGCCAAATGCAGCTTGCCAAAGTAAAATATTCTACAGACATTGAAATCAAAATGCCTTTTTAAAAAGTGAAGTCTATTTCTAATTTAATCCTTTAAGTAGATACAAGTCTTTTATAAATCAAACTTCATAGAATCAACAGACCTGTGTAAGAACTCTGACCACTCTCAGAAAAGATAGTTAGAGGTTCAGTAGGACCCCTCTCCATTCTATTCAGGACCTAGACAGAAAGGAAAAAAGGGCAAAGAGGAAGAAGAGAGACATCAGAAGAAAAAACTATATAAGACCCATAAACTTCTTCGAAGTAAAATTTTCATGATTGCCCAAATTCGTTCTCTCTACCATTGTTTCTGCTAATTTCTCTCTAGAAAGAGTTGTAAAAGACATGAGATTATCTACAGTCTCAAGTCCAGGGTTTTGTTTGTTTAACAAGAAAAGCTTATCATAATCACCAAGGATGCTTTTCAAAATACACAGTAGTGATTACACTAGGGTGCTCATTTTATAATTCAGCATCCTTATGATTTGTGCACTTTGCATGTCATACTTCAATTAACAAATATTAAAAAACCAATACACTTGTCCTGGGGAGAAACCCTGAAGGATTCTAATTAAGTAGGGAGCAGAAACAGAGTCCCACAGAGGTTACATGATTTGCCCTATGGCACAAATGTAGTTAACTAGACTTAGTCTTTCTTGTCATTTTCCTACTCTTTCTGTTGTAATACTGTAAATATGCTGATTATATTTTTTAATTTAATATTTACTTATATTCTGAAAATTTTTTATTACAAATGACAACTGTAAAAAACAAATGAGGCCACAAATAAATGAAAAACACAGATGTCCTGGGTTCACAACTGTGCACCATCATAGCTGCTACAGCCAAATGCCCATGCAACGATTTCCAAACCTTGATACCCACTTTTAAAATGTTTTTAGCCCTTGCCAGTGTGGCTCACTTGAGTTGGAAACAGTCTGTATACGGAAAGGTTGCCATTTGGTTCCTGTCAGGGCACATGCCCTGGTTGCAGGCTCAATCCCTGGTAGGAGGCCTGCAGGAGGCAGCTGATCTTGATGTTTCGCTCTCACATGGATAGATATTTCTCTCTCTCCCTTTCTCTCTCTAAAAATCAACAAAAACATTTTTTAAAAATGTTTTCATACAAACATCAAATTATTAGTTGTAAAATCAACTGAGTATATCTTGAGAAAAGACTAGCATTATTTACGATAATAAAACATAGGGTAACAGAACAAAAAAAGAGCGAGGCTGAGCATGGCAGAGTGTGCCTTTTGAGTTCTAGTCATGATCTTCCCATAAAGCTGTTGTGTGATTTTGGGCAGGACACAATCTCTCTGGGCCTAAGATTCCTAAATTATAAAATGAAAGGAAGAATCACTAAGCTCAAGCTAAACAGAATCTTAGGTTCTCTCTAGCTTTAAGAAAACTCAAGGACTATTTATCAAGAATGTTAATCATTATTCTACATGTCTTCACTTGAACAAATGAATATCTCTATTCAAATGTTTTTTTCTGTTTTTCTCCTCACCCAAGGATATTTTTTCCATTGCTGTTCAGAGAGAGTAGAAGGGGGGTGGGGAGAGAAACATCAATGTGAGAGAGACACACATCAATTGGTTGCCTCCCACACATGCTCCGACCAGAGCTGGGGATAGAGCCTGCAACCCAGGTACGTGCCCTTGGCCGAAACTGAACCTGGGACTCTTCAGTTTGAGGGCTGACGCTCTAACCACTGAGTCAAACTGGCCAGGGCACTATTCAAATGTTTTAAGTAGCTTTGTAAAATAAGAATCCTAGATTTCCTACATTATCTGCCTTATAAACCTAAATCTGGGTATTATAGGACTTAAATTGGCCTTTTAACCACATAGCCTTAAATGTTTCAGGATAATTTATAAGGCATTTTAAAAGTATCTAAATAAACAGCTAACTGTGAACTGTCAAAGACAATCTGCCATGGCACAACTAAAGCAAGATTCTATCCCATCCTCCCTACACCCTCCCGTAAGGTTCTTATGAAAATAAAACTATACATGCTTCCCCTGTTCCCAAGTCCAGGGCTGCAAGGAAAAATTTATGCAAACCTCCAGCCAAATCATAAAAATTTAGTTCCCTGAAAGAATCAACAAAATGCCTGTCAAGGACATTGGCATTTCAGTACGGTAACAACACTGGTTTGCTCTTGGTAGGAATAATAGACAATTTAAGAGACTAGGGAGTATTAATATTAACTCTTAAACTTCAATCCTGACATTTTAGTATACGAAACGAGATAAATTAGTGAAATATAAAATTTTAGATTCCTAAAACTAGGACTCATCCTAACACAGGTATTGCTAATAATTTAATCATGCACACTGTAAACCAAAATAATAAATCAGAGGCTCAATGAGATTTTTCCTGTCTTGTTAGATACCACAGTAGGTAGATAAAGTAAAATTTAGGGAAAGACTACTTTATACATCATGTTCTAATTATGAACACCACCATGTTCTTTTGATCATAAAGCTACAATTTAAAAGATACATTTAGCAAACCTACAGACAGAACTGTATTACGTGAATACACCAATATTTTCCAACACAGGTACAGCATTCAAAATGACTTGAAACAACTGGAAAGGCATTTTCTTCAAAGTTCAAATGAGATTATTTAAAAATTAGAAAATCTAATACTATGCTTATCCCCAAATAGTGAAGAAGAAATAATTTTTTGATCAGAAGAGGAAATTTAATGGCAAGATAAACAGGTGCATTAATATAAAAAACAACAACAAAGAAATAAGTCTCTAAGCAAATTGCCAAAAAACAAAAAAACAAAATTAAGGTTAAAAAGTAATAACATAAAAAAAATATAGAAATAAAATTTACAAGAATTATTAACTTCAGTGGAGTGGTGATAATCCAAAGTCATAAAGAAAAAGATCAACAGACAAGATTATGTAAATATTAAAATAGTCTATATGCCAAAAGAAACCACAAGGTCAACAGCCAAATGATAGACTGGGATAATATATTTGCACCACATGACCAAAAAAGGGGTTAATATCCCAAATATACAAAAGCAAATGCAAATTGATTAAAAAGTAAAAAATGAATAACCCAAGAGAAAATCAGTAAAGGACTAGAAAAGGTGATTTGTAGAATAGGGTTTGCAACTTTTAATGGTCAGGGAAATGAAAATTAAATACGAAAATACTTTTCACCCAGCTGACTGTCAAAACTAAAAAGATACTTGTTATCCAGTGCCAGTAGGATTAAGAACTGTAACAACCTTTATGGGAAGTAACCTGACAGTTCATAATATTGAAATAAACTTATCTTTTAACCAGTATTTGGAAATTTATCCTACAGAAGTAAAAGCTCCATTTCTTAAAGATAGATGCACAAGTATGTCTAGTGTTTGTGATGGTGGAAAAAACAAAACAAAATAAATATTCACTGATAGAACCTACATAAATGGAATATTATGCAGCTGGAAAGAGAAATTAGATACCTGTTTAATGATATAAAAGAAAATAAATTATATCCTAGAAAGTAAAAAAATAGAAGTTGCAGAATAATATGTATGGCATCATGATAATCTTATAAAATAAGAGAAGATGAATCCATAGGTATATGTGTTTCTAAGAGCATAGAGAAAAATATAGAAGAAAGACTAGGCTATTCCACTTGGGTAGCCTGGAGAGGAACTGGAGATGTTTAGCTTTTTCTTCACGTACCTCAAATGATGTTCAATTTGTTTCAATTAGCCTATAATGCTTTTGTGGTTTGAAAGAAAAATCCTATTTGAGTATAACATAATAAAAAAGAAATGGAAAAAAAATCTATAATAGGAACGACAGAAAAATAGTTAAAAATGATAAAGATATATATGAAACAGTGTATAGGCCCTGGCTTGGTAGCTCAGTTGGTTAGAGCATCATCCCAATATGACAAGGTTGCCGGTTCGATTCCAGGTCAGGGCACATACAAGACTCAACCAATGAATGCATAAATAAGTGGAACAAAAACCAAACAAACAGACAATAACAACAAAGAAGAATAAGTGGAACAATAAATCGATGTTTCTCTCTTCCTCTCTCTCTAAAAATCAATAAAATAAAAATTTTAAAAAATTGATGTATAAAAGATAGCCAAATGAAACACTCAGAGGACAAGGAATAAAAATAAATTCTGGGTGCTTTGTGTGTGGGTATGTAAAACAACTTTTATGATTTAAGACTTACCTCCATTTCAAAAATAAAAATAAAAGAAGTTTTTCTGTGTGTTTTTTTAACCCTCACCCGAGGCTATGTTTCTATTGATTCTTAGAGAAAGGGAGGCAGAGAGAGAGAGAAAAACATCAACATGACAGAGAAACATCGATAGGTTGCCTCCTGTATTCTCCTGGACCGGGAATTGAACCCTCAACCTAAGTATGTGCCCTGATCGGGAATCAAACCCGAAACCTTTTGGTGCACAAGACAACACTCCAATCAACTGAACCACCTGGCCAGGGCAAAAGAAGTTTTTTTTGATTCAAGAGCTTTGTTTTTTAGGTTTGTCTGCTTAGAATATTTTATTAAAAAAATAAACATGATTCATCACAAGATCCTGTCAAAGAAATGCCCTGTTATATATTTATAATCTGTATCTCTTTTTTTGGTTAAATTATATTTACTTTTAGCTATATTTTGAAACTTGAAATTTATCTTTTATAACAATGCATCATTTTTGTTATACTGAATAAAATTTGTAAATGCACAGTACAAACTTAAAAAGAAAATACCGATAAATAAATAAATAAATGGAAAATACCAAATCTATACTGAACAAATAAATAATACGAAAATTAGGTAAAACAAGATTGAAAAAATGCTCGTCATTGATAAAAATAAAAAACACATTTGCTAGTCACAAAAGAAAATAAATGCAACTTCACAACGGAGATATCTGGCAGTTACAACTTGAACTCTGTGATTGAAATTACCATTAATAGTGGAGAAACCAGCCCTAGCCGGTTTGGCTTGGTGGTTAGAGCACTGGCCCTCGGACTGAAGGTCCTGGGTTTGATTCCAACGAAAGGCATGTACCTCGGTTGCAGGCTTGATCCCCAGCCCCAGTCGGGGCATGTGCAGGAGGCAACCAATCAATGTGTCTCTCTCACATCAATGTTTCTCTCTCTCTTTCTCTCTCTCTCTGAAAAGCAATGGAAAAAATACCCTTGGGTGAGGATTAAAAAAAAAAAAAAAACGTGAAAAAACCAGACATTGATGTGTCTTATGATATCATGCAATGTGAAGAATATTATTTTTGCCAAAATGTTTAGCTAGAATATAATCAAGTCTTTAAATCTAACCAATTCTTTAAAATCGAATCAAGTTCTTAAACCTTCCAGTTTAAGGAAATACAAGGAATAAAGGAACAAGTTAAACGCCACAAAGGAACAGATCAATCCAGAATGTGGCACATTCAACAAGAAAACTGCTCTGGTCTCAATAAATCAATGCCATGAGGACAAAAAGGTGAGGGAGAAGGCAAATGGGAATTGTTACAGGTCTTAAAAAAAAAAAAAAAAGATACAAAAATAATAACATGGAAATGAAATGCATAGTCCTTAAGTTTTTTGTTTGTTAATCCTCACCTGAGGATATTTTTCCTTTTTTTTTTTTTAAAGATAGAGAGGG